TATGATTGCATATGAAGAAATGCAAGAAATCGTCGTCACTCATGATGTCATATTTGTGCAATATTTTCACAATTTGCCTATTGGAGGTATATACTGTGGAAATGCATAACGACTTTTTCGCAATTTTTGACAAATATTATTTACAAAATTTTATTTCGACAAAACTGTTGTGTTATGGCGAATCATCTTAGTGCAATCATTGCAAAATCGTCGCCATTCATGATGCCATTTTTGTGCAATATTTTCACAAATGTGCCTATTAGGGTGTGTATTACATACCATTTTTTTCGACGTTTTCTGAATTCAGGGGCGTAGCACACTTGGCTTCTATGGTAGGAATGTTGCGAGTTTAAATCTTGCTTTTTGCAACTTTTTTTTTAAATAATAAAATCTGCACTCGCAGAGACTATTGTGTGACATACTTTATGAATACTGAGAATTTATATCCGTTTTTTATTAAGCATTTCCGAATAGTTAATAAAAATTGCACTTTATTTTTTGCTATTTTCAAGAGATTTATCTCTACATTCTGGTATATGATTAGCAGATGACGACTACATACATGAAATGTTTCCGCCTTTGGTAAAGAACAGGAGAATCACAAAGAACAGGAGAATCTGTTCTTTGTGTAGATATATCTGCGACTTTACTTACGTTGTGGTTGCTGTTTTTGAATGTTAGATTAGGCTTAGACTCATTCTAGCCAGCGTTTACAGTACTTGCAGTATCGCGTCTTGTGCAATTTTGTTGTACAAACAATGCAATATTTAAGTGGCAGTAATCGCTTCAGCAACGAGACCGAGAGAAACACTCTTCCAAAATCCGAAATCAGACAAGAAGAAAAAAATTTTATGAACGTTTTTATTTATTGTTAGAATTTATTAAAATAGTTTGAGGACGAGTCTAGCCGTAACAATTCATAAATTTTTCTCACAATTCTGTTCCACTTTTGGTTGCTTTTGCAGAAATATATTTAATGTGAATCAGTAAACATGTCAGACAAACAAGACTGCGACCGTTTAACAAACGCATGCATGTTGCATGCGTGGAAAAAAGATACCAAACGAGGTGGGACATTTAACAAATAAAGAGTTAACAAATAAAAACACATATGAATATTTTCAAAAACCGAAAGAAGTCACAAGCAAACAATTTGAGAACATTGTGTGTATATGTAGATAAAAAATAATATACGTCAGATGTTAAAAATAAATGTTTCAAGTTCTCTGCCAACAATATATATTGGATGTCGTTTTAAACAAAACTATAAAATCAGGAAGAAAAAAGTAACGCGATACGTAAGCAGTAAAGATACGAAGTTCGAGAAAATTCTAGGCAACAAAGTATTATCTGTTGTCCTTTTGTGCATGCAGAAAGCGAGAAGGCAATTTGTTTCTATTTGTTTACAAATGAAGATCGATAATTTATTGTAGATCTTCTAACATATTATCTTTCGCTACATGTCGAGAGTAATAAATTTTATGATACTACAACATACTTAAAGCTCGGCGAAATCTGAGAGGACAATCTCTGGTGGTCCCCTTATTATAACGTAATTACCTCTGGTTAAGTTAAATACCGATAATTTAAAAAAAATGCAATTACAGATGACACTTTTATTCCTTTTTNTTTTTTTTTTTTTTTTTTTTTACAAATAATGCAATGTAGATTTCTCTAAAGCATTTTGACCTATATATACTATATATCGAGGAAAAACATCACGATTATCAAACAATATAGATTCTGCCTACAACAAATTGCATGCTTAATTTTTTTATGGTAATAAATGTCGAGCCACAAAAACGGAGGAGTGTACCATTAATGTGAGATATTAGTGGTTATTAAAATTAACGCGATAAAATTTGCCTTCAACATTTCAGAATGATAAAAATTATTTTGGCATTTTGTAATAACACAAAAAATATCCACAACGAAGAAAGAAAAATATGTGTGTATATATATATATATATATATATATATTTAGATATATAAATATATATATATATATATATGAATATGTATATATATATTTTTTTTTTTATAATATATTTCTAGCTACTGTGTTAACAAAGCGTCTAAGGACTATAAATGTACGTACTCGTGGAAAACCCCATACGTATTCTACGTATGGTTGTGTTGTTCTTGAGTGACACAGAGAGAAAGAAAAAACAAAGGAAATAGAGATTATTGCAACATTTACTCGCGGATAAGAAAGCAAATCACCTTATGCCCTAGCACATTACGGGATTAGATGATACTGCAATATATAAATGTATATATTTTTACTCTGATATTTTTTGAACTTTGTCGCAACCGATCGCATTTCAAGAATTGTTAATAGAACTGTTAGACTCTATTTTATTGGCGTTATCACTTCCAACAGACGTGGTCACACGTGATTGCTTCAAACTATCCAAGTATTCTTGTTGCGACGTCGCCAACACTTGTGAAAGTATGTGACTATCTTCCCAATCCGTCAGACCTGTATACATAGAAAAAAGGCCAAAACTTTACAAAGACTTTACTATCAAAATGTCAAGAGATAAAAGATTACCAATCGCAATTATATATGCACTATTTAGGTTTTATCGCAATATCTTTACAAAAGAAAATCAGATATACAAATATTTGATATCCAAATGTAATTAAAATTATTTTTGTTAATCAAAAAAATAAACTATATAATACTTGAAAGAAAAATATTTCAGGATTGTCTCACCAAACACTTCAGGAGGAAGGCGATTAAACAACGAAATGTCAGGAGACGCATGTGCCTCTTTACTGCTTCCTGGCACAGGTTCTTGTTGCATCGTTTTCAAGTCACAATCAATAGGATGGGATCCTTGAGGCGACTGATGTTGCGGCGATCTCTTGCTATATCGTATCGCGTCGCTGATCTAATAATAATAATCGTAATGAATATATTTTTCACGTAACATTTTGAACTCTCTGCCGTAGCACGAAACGATCAGTGCATGAAACAAACCTTCGGAGAATTGCGTAAATTATCCTGGCTAGTTTGTGTCGTGGTGGGAGAAGAGGTATGGCTACGCTGCTGTCCGCGACCTCCATGTGAATGAAAGTGTGAATGATTATGTTGCGCGCTCGTAACTGTGCTCGTACTGCTACTACTGGCTGATCGCTTGATTCAAAAGTTGCGTCTGAGTTGTTTTTGTTTCTAACAGAATAACTGGCATTGACAATGAATTTGTTTTTACTTACTGCTTTGCGCATTTCGTTATCGCGCAACCACTGCAAATAACTCTCTCGTGCCACTTGTTCCTCGATAGCTTCGTTAGTTGCTTCCCAATCCGTAGCCTTTATTTTATCCTCGAGCATTGTCTTTTATGAAAATTTAGTTATCTTAGAAAATGTGTTTCATATTTGTAAAGTCAAATGCTTACTGTTTGTGATGATTACCTGTTCAATATGTAACTCCTCACTTTGACGTACTGCGTCAGATATCAAGGCGCGATCAGCAGCACCAGGATTGTACGACGGTAAACCAAGCCCAACGCCTATAGTAGCTTTGTACGGATCGACTATGCTGTTGTAATGACTGCCACGCTGATAAGACAATCTGATCGGTTCGTTATCACTTTCTACCATAGTATGGAAGATATTGATAGGTTCTGTGTAGAAAAAAACAAAAAAAAACGTGATCGTACGTCCATACAATAACACGATATCTTGCATCGTTGATAGAAAAAAAACATACCAGTGCTATAACAGTACAATTGGATGCTACGATTGTACATTTCTGACATAGCTTGCATTTCTATATGATTTCCATGAACATATTCTTGCCTTTTCCTGTCTACATAGGTGCTAAAATCCTCTGCTACAAAATGTGAGAAAAACTCCTGATTGGAAGCCTGAAGGAACAATCGTAAATCCCAGTCAAAATAATATGTGTGTTACGTTTTATTTTCTCGCTCCAATACCAATACTCACGATATAATCCATACAGTGCTTTCGTACAATCCCGTGCATTTCTTGGTCACCGTAAACTTGATCCGCTACCGCTCTAAACAAGCAAGCTCCGTCCTCCGCCATCTTTTTTATCACGAGACCCTTTTTCCGTATGCGTTTCTCAAACCACCTGTCTCTCTGTATTGTTAAAAATACAAAATTTGTGTAAAATACGCGAAAGTGTCTTTATGTTAACGTTGAATTCAAAATTATACCGACTTCTTGCCATTCTGCTAATGTAAGATTATTTTCACTGCGTCCCATATATTCATCTCCACTATTGTAACCATTTGCTAATTCATGTTCCAAATTCGAAGCGTTTCCAACAATGCTCATTCGTCCATTAACATTGTTGTCTGTACCTGAATAAATTGAATTTAGATACTACATATCCTCTGTTTCACATTGATCGTGTATTATCTTAATGATTCAGGTACAAAGAAAATACCTTGTGGACCATTGCAAGAAGCAGCGGGTGGTGTAGCTTGCCTCTCACGGTCCCTTTCTCTTTCTCTTTCTCTACCTCTGTCTCTTTCTCGCTCACGTTTTGCACGTGTAGATCTAATACAGCTACAAGAGAGATTAGTAGATTTCTGATTAAAGTAGATTTTGTAGAATATCTTTTACATGTTTGATTTCATTTAAAATATATTAAAATATATTGTAAGATTAAATATTGTAAACAAATATATATATCACAATGTAGTTTTATACAAACATTTATATATATATATATATATATATATATATATATATATACACATAGTTTTTTAAATAGCCTTTTGTAGCCTTTTAATTACCGGTGAGGACTAACTCTTTGCCGGTGACGTTTACCATGACTTGGACCACTTCCATCTTCAAAATGTTTGTCCTCACGGCGGTCAACATTTGCCTGTAAACAAAACCATTGTATATTATAATCAAATGTGGAATGCTTCCCGCAAAATTTTTTACTTGAATATTTAATTAAATATTTTAACTGAACATTTGCTTGCAATTAATAAAAATATTTTTAAAATTATTTAAACAAAACTTTTTTTATTGACATTATCAGTTATCATAGTGTCAGATTTGAGAAAGTTATTTGAGAAAATTCATGTTATTACGTACAAAATCGATATAAACAATATCAAGGCTATTCAAAACAAAGAATATACACCTCATAAGAGTTGCCGGCTAGTACTAAAGAGCCAGATCCATGGTCGGTTTGAACTCCGTGTAAATCAACAGCAAATCCGCTGGCACCGCGTACCTAGTCAGCCAGAGTCGACAAAACTTCTGTGTTAAAATCAGTTCCTTAAGTAGCGAGAGGAGAGAGAGAGCAAATCGCCTTCCGCCTCACCTGATAAGGACTGTTCGGCAGGGCGATGCCGCCTGGATTATGCTCGTTCTGTACCACACCGTGATGAACGTCTTCGGGACCCGCGCCACCCTCGCGCGTCCTGTCCTTCGGCGTGCTCCTGTCCTTCTTCTTCGACAATATCGTCATGATCTCACGCGATCAATTCTCCTCTCTCTCTCTTTCTGTCTCTCGGTCTTGTTGTTACTTATCCAGTTCGGATTCGCAAATCCGGATTTTACCAGTCGGCCCGCGGACGGAGCACGCTGCCAAAGGAAGTTCCCCAACAAAGCGAATCGTTTCCCGCTACCGATATCACCGCACACACACCTATTTGTTATTTTTCACGACACAGACTGGACTGCTCACGAGTTCCAATCACGGGCGCACTCCGTTCCGAATCCTTGTTCCGGCTCCCTTGGCTCCTTCGTTGCGTCACGCTCGTTACGAAAACCAGCTAGAAACTTCGGTCGGGATGACGTCGTATTTGCGACCACCGCGCAACATGTCCGAGCGAAAGCGATACGACGTCGTCAATCGTTGCTACACTCGGAATGTTTTGTCAGGCGGCCATGTTGCTCTCCGTGTTTGCTGCTATCACAGCTTCGTTTACAGGGGAATGCACGATCTATATAGAAAGGACACTGCGGCGCGACGCACAAAATCCACTATATACAACCAATGTAGCAGCGCGACTCCGCGTGCCAGCCTTCCAGTATTACGTAATTCATACTTGGTGTTCGTAAAAAAATTCTCCCATATGTGTTCCAAATAATAATAAACATACACGAGAGAGCTATCGATCATGACGTGTTCGCGCGACACAAAGGCAGTCTACGCGTTCTTTTCATTGGACGCTCGTGACTGGCTGACATATGTTTTTTTTTTTGTTCATACGCTACGTATCCCGCGCATTTTATTCATTTGTGAATAAGTCCTAATACATGTATAGGAACTAATGTTGATAAACACATGATTTTGTTTACCTGTTTTTTTGTTTTTTTTTATTGTCAAACAAAATACAATTGTTTTGACTGTAGTTGGAATAGGAAAAACGTAAAGACACCATAACAACGGACAAAATGCTTCGCGGATACGAGAGCGTGAGATTTATTTCGGACAAACAAATGGTGGTTCTCGATATTGGCAGTGCGTACACAAAGTAAGCGTTGGTAACAAACTACAGGCTGCTACGTTTATGAAATATGAAATAAAAATGATTGATTAAAACACAAAGGTTTGGCTACGCGGGTGAAGTGTCTCCACGTGGTATCATACGAACGGAAGTGAGATGTCCAGAATCAAAGCAGATACGCAGAATCATTGACTATAAGGATCTTGACGATTTGTATCAACTTCTTGTGGAATTTATTCATCTAATGTTTTTCAGGTAATTTCGTGTTTCTGTATTTTCCTTGTTATATATATGTTGCACAGTACAATCTTTAAATCAATTTTTGTATATTAGGTATGTTGTCATAAGTCCAAAAGATGCAAGAATACTGCTTTTGGAATCTCCATTGGCAGTGACATCATTCAGGGATACTTTCGCAAAAGTGATGTTCAGACACTTTGAAGTTGGTTTGATACTGTTTCTGCCAAGTCATTTAGCAACGATCAGTACTCTTGGTATTGATACAGCTTTGGTATTGGATGTGGGATATCAAGAAGCAACTCTAATTCCAATCTTTGAAGGAATACCGATACTCAAAGCTTGGCAAGCATTGCCTTTAGCCGGACAGATAGTGCACGAGTAAGTTTCACATTTCTCCTTTTATGTATTTGTATCTTTTTTTTTTACAAATAATGATAAATAGTTTTTATTATTTTACAGAAACTTAAGAAAGTACTTCAACAACATATCAAAGGATATAGATTTGTCTGAGGAAGTGCTGGAAGACATCAAAGTAAGAACATGTTTTGTAACTACATTGGAAAGATCTACAAAACTAGGAACAAAAAGTGCTCCCACTCATCCTCCTGACGTTGTGCATCTTGGTGTCAAGAGATTTTTAATACCTGGAGAAATAAGGGAAAAAGCATTTGAAATATTATGGGAAAGAGATAATGATAATCTCTCTCTATCAACTATGATATTGGATGCTATTGTCAAGGTAATACACAGACAATATTTTTACTAAACAGTAACCAAATCTTATATTTGTATTTCTTATCTAATGTTTGCAAACGTTTTGTCAGTGCCCGTTGGACACGAGGCGAGTGTTAGCCGAAAATATAGTACTGGTTGGAGGAACTACCATGACCAAGGGTTTTGCGAGCCGTTTAAAATCAGAGTTACTGGAATTGGTCAAAAGTGATTTGTATAACGAAAAGTTAAAGGTGCAGTCGTTCAAATTTCATACAGCACCTAGCAAACCGAATTACACAGTATGGCTGGGTGGTGCTATTTTCGGTACGACAGATTTATTAATGCGATGTGTAACAAAGGAAATGTATTTAAAAACAAATCGAGTTCCTGATTGGTCCAATTTAATAGATAATCAGTAGGATGAATCTTACGAGTTATAAACGACTTCATGTTTTGAGATTCAAAGAGATAATCTATAGAAATTAAATAGGGAAAGAAATTTATATTTATTCCTAATATAATTGTAATTACGTATTTGTAAACAATTAGATATTGTGTATATAATTTGTGTAATCGAATTGTTGGAAACAAGCTACTTTTTATCATTTATTTATCTATATGTATGAATATATTTCTGCAATTTTTATTATAATCTTGACTGATCCTGAATGACATTAAGAGTACAGATATATGAAAACTATTATTATTATTATTGAGTTTTTTGCTTTACACATATGTATACATTGTAAATAAGTAAACACTTAATTACAGAGTTGTGAGTAACGTTAGTTTTTCATTGAGCTGTAATTGAGTTTTTATTAATTGAGATAACGCTACGACCATCAAGAGATCCTTAACATTACTATTAAACATATTGTCAAACTGATCACTAGTCATTTTCGGCACGGAGTGCACCATGTCCAAAAGAGCTCTGCCTACCTAAAAGGATAGAGACATTTTGTATTATGTATATATTAGTAAGATAATAATTTTATAGCAAAAAATATATAGCCACTCTATATTTACTTGATTATCTGGCAATTGTTTTCCCGCTAGAACATCATCAACATATGTAAGCACTTGTTCTAACATTGAAGAAAGTTTGAAACAAGCTTCTGAGACTTGTGCAAGATCCATCATGGGTTCTATTCCTCCAGCAGATTTCATTCCAGACGCTTGTATGTGAGATTGAAACTGTGTTTTGGAACATAATTGCAATCCTACAACTTCTGGCTCATAGCATGTAATCTGTAACAAAACATCAATTTAAAATATATTTTTACAAGTTTATTACAAATATACATTTGATTTAGAGAGAACTTGACAAACCTGAACCTTTACTGGAGTAAACATAGAACCTTGCTTCCCATTGGGTACTCCTAGTGGGACACACACATAAGCTTTAATTGCCATTCTTGTGGTATTTGCCAATGTAGTATCAACAGTTAAGTGCACTGGATTGTTACATTCTCTCACATAATACTCATGGATAACAGAGGAATGCGTAGTGACCTAAACCATATTGCTGTTTAGTTATGGTAATAGTATTTAGATGTGTACAGAAGACAAATTATGGTCAACCTCATTGCCAGTAGCCCACCAGCCAACTATGTTCTCTTGTGCATTAACTCGGTGATTCAAATCATACAAGTCCATTCCGTAAGTCAAATCCGCTTCTACTTGACTTTCGGATTCTTTGTGTGGCACGCAAAAGCAATTAGTTACTTCAACAATTCCTTTCTCCACAGTACCTAAAATAATGAGACGAATGTCAAAATTGTGTCAAGAAACTTCTTTAATATACAAAGAAAATATACATTACCTAATAAAGTGCCAATAACACGCAGCGATTCTGCTTTTCGTCTCTCATAGGCGTCCACAACTTGAAACAACACTACAGGATGCACTTTAACGATAAGGTTAAGCGCCATGTTTAATGAAATCCCCGAAAATATGCTCCAATATGCTCTTCAATCAAAACTTGTCAAGAACCCGTCAGAAATCTGCTGGTTAGGTCTCCAGTGTTGCCAACTCAGTAGGATTCCTACTAAACTTAGTAGTTTAAAAATAAGCTGTTGTAGGAAAATTATCTATCCGTATTACGTAGGAAGTCTAGCAGTTTTTAACTTCTATGACTGTAGGAAAGAAAATAAAATTCTACTGTTCTCAATCTTGTAAATTTGATTTTTTTTTGTTCGGCCAATTGACCAATCAAATATTCGCATTCGTTATTTGTTCGCTAGAAGAAAACTTGCTAATAAAATCATGTGACTGATAAATTAACCAATCAGAGACTGCGTTCCGATATTCACTGCCAGTACTGGAATATATAGCACATGTGACATAAAGTATAGACTTTTAGTACTGCTATATCTATCTAACCTATCTTTACATTGTAAGTTATGATTGCGTTTAGCAAACGCTTCTTTGGTATGTATGCGTTAGTGTGTGAGAATGTTGGATGAATGGGTTTGTACGAATGGCCAAGAGTGAATGTTCTAGGCGACAGCAGGGGAGTCTTCTTTTGACGAGGAATCCTGACGTCGAGAGTATTAATCGCTTCAGCGAGATTAGACCTCTAACGTAAAGGAACGGAGCTGTCAGCCACAGATGTAGAGAGCGTGTGGGGAAGAGTGAGGGTGAAACACTTATACGAAACACTTTGAACTTTTATTGAGTAACACTTTCACAAATACGTGACCACGAGCCTTTCGCGCCACGAGCCAGATCGCAACCAGGGCCACCAAACTGCCATATAAATTCTATGGGACCCGGTGGTACCAGCATTTGTGGCGCTCTCTGAAAAGTCTCGTTGGTAAAATGGAACTAAATTCCAACATGGCGTCCAGTGTTACACACCACACACACACACACCACACATATATATGCATCTAGGTTAGGTTATTACACTATTTTATTATTTTTGCTTTAAATAAAAAACAATAGATAGGTTTTTTTTATTGTCATAATTTATTAAAATATATATAAATATACATAACGTACATA